ATGCACTGTTACTATTAGATATACAACAACTAATCTAAATTTGGATTTAAAATTCAAATTATGTATATATGTCATGCATCCAATTGTAATAATATATACATTGTTAGTATACATAAAATTAACTCTTAAAAAAATGGAAATGCAAATAATATTTTTCTAACATTTTTTATGTTTTTTTTTTTGTGAAGGGCTTATGCAGTTTAATTTGTAGTAGTACTTTTGCATCTAATAAAATGAGGGGAGTGACAATGTATGAATAACCCAAAAAAGGCCAAAACACCGCAGGGAAGTTTTCTGATTTGACTAAAAGATGGCGGACTAGCGTTGCAAAATGAGCAAATATCCTGGGGTGCACGCTTTCCCCTCTGCCTTAAATAGCAGCCGACTATCTTGCACACTCACAGCTCATGGCCGTGGTGCAAGCGGTCCCTCGCTTCCTCCAAGCTGAATGCGAATACACTACTGCCACTACCAGCAGTAGCATATATCCATCTTATCAAACCCTAAAGGTCACGTGACAGCATGGCACCCAAGGCGGGTCACTACCGCCTCTCAAATTAAGCTACGTCGCGAGATCAGACCCCCTACATTGTTTTTTTTTCTTCCTTTTTTAAATGAATCCTGATTTCATTCCGTTTAACTCATTCCTATCCCGCATTTCTAATCTCTCATTCAGGCTTCTCTTTCGATATCATCCAACTTATTTCTCCCCTGCCCCTGACATTGCTCGTTACTACTTACTGGTTACTGCTGCTGTTTACGAAGGAATAGGAAAATTTGAAAAATTAGAATGGCCATTAGCCTTTATTCCGCCACTCCCCCTAGCCTGTGGGGGCCTATAAGCATGATGTATCTATTATTAGTCTATAGCCCCGTTTGGAAGGTGAGTTTTTTAAGTGTTTGTATAAAATTTTACTGTAAATTACTGTAAAGGTTGTAAAAAAAATTTTTTGATATGAAAAAATAGTTTTTTCTTTTTCTTTTTCTTTCTTTCTTTTTCTTTTTTCTTTTTTTTTCTTTCTTTTTTCTTGTCCTTCCTCCCTTCCCGCTTCTTATCCCTTCCCCTTTCCCCTCCCCTGTTCGGCTGTTTCCTCTCCTCCCTCTCCCTCTCCCCTTCCCCTTCCTTTCCCCGCCACCCCTATCCTCCCATCTCCCTCGCCACCCCTCTTCCTCCCCCTCCCCTATCCTCTTCTCCCTCCCTCTCCCCCGCCACTCCTATCCTCCCTTCCCTGCCACTCCTATCCTCCCCTCTCCCCATCCCTCTTCCCTCGCCCGCCTTTGCAAAAGAAGACCGAAAAGAATGGGGAAGGGGTTTGGGTCTCAAATCCAATGACAAAACCATTTCCCCGCGTCACGTGGCATTTGAACTTGCTCCTTCCAATGAACCCAACAGGGTTCGTTTCCAAGTTATCGGAAAGAATCCCGTTTGGGTGCACAGCGGCGAACACGGTAAAGTCAGCACCTTTAGGACTCGTGAGTGCGGTGAAATAGAAATTGGGGACAAGTTTGCGTTTCTGCCAAGACTCCCGGTCGATGTGGTGGTTGGCTACGGAGGATCTGGTGAGTTGGGTGGGAGAGGAAAAAGAAGAAAAGTTGAAAGGAAATTTTTTGTGTACTAGAAAAGTTGAAGGGAAAATTTTTTTAAGTGTGTAGGTTAAAAATTTTGATAAGTTTTTTGGATTTTTGTAGTAAAAATTGTTAAAAAACTAGTAACATATGAACTTAAAAAAAACTTGGGGTTCTAAACAGGCCCATAATTTATTGGCATATTAAATCAAGATTCAAAATTAAAAATTTTCATATTATTATTTAGTATAGCCGGGGGTGTTTGGATACGAAATTTATCCCAAATAATATTTCGCTTGCATCATAAACACATTTTCCAACCCACCTTTTTATATTCCCAATCACCTTTTTATCTCACATACATCACATCACAAAAAGTGCTACAGTAATTATTTCAAATAATATTTCAAATAAGACCCTATCCAAACAATAGTACTGGTGTTTTAGTAAAGTTATGGTAGTTTTATCATTTAAAAATTAGCATTTTATTAGGAAATTTCTTATGATTATAAGACTTGTTTATCAAGTCATCTAATCTATAAATAGGGAGTTATAAATTGTATGTCTAATTTGTGATGATTGGGCCATAAAATTGACTCGAAAGAATTGTCAAATTGATTGTGGTTGTGACGACATAGATCGGAGAAAAATCTTGTTAGTTGAATTGTGATTATCAATATTACAAAGTGAATTGTCAAATAAGTTGACATATCTAGAAGCGTGGATATATTTTTGCAAGTGAAAAATAAGTTGAGTAACGAGATAAATTTGTCAGGTGCGTGAAATATTGCAATAGCAAAAATCAAGAGATATTATTGATCGTGATGACGGTGAACCAGATCCAAGAGAGAGCTTGATTTAAGGGAAAAAATGTTGACACATTAAATCAAGACTCAAAATTAAAATTTTCCATATTATTATTAAGTAGTGTTCTAGTCAAGTTAGGGTTTTAGTAATTCTATTGAAGTCAAGTTATGGTAGTTTTATTATTTATGAATTAGTATTTGATTAAGAAATTTCTTATGGTTGTAAGACTTATTTATCAGGTCATCTAATCTATAAATAGAGAGTCATATTATTGTGTTTAGTTCAAAAAATTGAAGGATTGATAATCTTGTTCTTATGATGTGATTAAAAGATATATTACTAGTATTATTCATTTTCTCCCACACATATTTTTATGTGTGTGAATTGCCTCCCCTCATAGTCATTTTGTCAAATATATCTCCTATATATTTTTTTGGGTTCTACATAACCAAATCCATTAGAGCCTTCATCTTTGTACTTTTGATGATTATCAAAATTTGGCTTAATTTCACGCTCTTACAATTGAGTCGTGCTTAGAGCATTAGACTTCACAATTTGGCAATTTTGGGAAGGGAATGAGGAAAAGCATGTGAGAGCAAGAAGAAAGCAAACTCATTTTCTCGACATGCTCTTTACAGAGCTAGGGACTGGGGAACTCTTCTTTTTTTTTTTTTGGATAAGATTAGACATAAAGAGATTACAAGTATTCTAAACCACGACTAATTCTTATACCCAACACAAGGTCCGGAGAGGCTCACACTTTATTTTTTATTTTTTTTTATTTTCAGACACACACTTAAAAATGAGATTAAAAAGCTTAGGTGTTTACTACGCGGTAGTGAAGGAATTCATTGAATTGTTGGATCAGGCTACAAATATTTTCCACACGGAATCAAGAAATTCAGAAATAAAGTCTTCATAGCTATAATCGAACAAGAACAAGTGCTTGGTTTTTATTTTGAGGGGCTCACATTCAATCTTGATGAATGGAATCTTGATGCATTCCATCCATCAACATTCCGTCCATCCTTGTTTTCTTTTCTCTCTTTTCTTCCACCTGCATTTACCATCTCTTTCACCTCAGGATATGTAATTGCAGTTTTTTTGGGGAGGCGCACATCGAGTGGATTTGCTACAACGTAATTTTAGTGCAACTGTAACTCAACAATCGTTAAAGCTTTCGCGCATGAAGCAGAAGGCGCGGGCATATGCATATTCCAGTGTAAGAAACTCGAAACTCATAGTGTCATGTCCTGCAGTCGTAGCAGTTGTAATACTGATGCGGGGCTGGAGCGGTTGTTCTGACAACCGCTCCGGAAGGTGTAACACCATTTATACATGGTGTAACATCATCTGTACAAGGTGTAACAATAGAACAATAGCGAGTAATACTAGAACAACATTTTTGTGGGTCCCACACGGCGTGAAAATTGAGTTACAAGACGTGATCTGAGCCGCACAAAATTTTGAGGCCTCATCCAGGCCGTGAACTGCCTGGGATCTCCTCAGGTCCCTCGTCCTTGTAATACACGTTCAATAGCAAACGCTGGGATCTCCTCAGGTGTAGCAAAAATCATGCGACGCAACACAAAGAAACAGATATTCAACCACAACCCCCAAAATAAATGGCAACAAGCTATTAGTGGAATTTTATGTGGCCTACATAACTACGTATAATATTTAAGATTAGTACTAAGCTATTATCTCACTAATTAAAGAGACAAATAACTACTTAACTATAAATTTATACGGGTATTTACAGAATGAAAGTAAGGATGTATAGGGATATATGCAGACGCTTTTGTTGACAACAATAATTTTAAGTCTAGTTTGTTTGAGAGCAGGCAGTCGATGACAGATTGAGTCTACATGATGATGAAAAGGAATCTAAACTCTATAAATGCACAACTTTTAATTCATCGTCTTTGATCCACAGAGGGATCTAACTCTATAAATAACTCTTCTCTAACCAGTCTTACGTACCCGATTGGAGCTCCTCTCTCTTAAGTTCCAATTGGTATTCCCTCCAATCATAATCATCCTAAGAGCTCCCCTCTAATCACTCCTTAAGTACCCGATTGGTAGTCCCTCTGACCATAAGGTACTACCCTAAATTATCTGTCTCCACGACCTACAAATCTAAACTAAACGTCATATTAAGCGTGAAGCGTCCCCTTCTAGGAATACAAGGGTGGAACAAAATTAAAACTTCAAGCATTCAAAAGCGATACAAGCATGACATAATCGCAGCAAACAAGCACCCAAAACACAAAAATCCTCCAAGACTCTTTTATGTGCTTTGCAAGAATAACTGATTAAGCAGCAGAATCTGAAGGAAGCACAATCAACTGCTTCACTCTGCCAACATCCCCAATCATATTTACCTTCCCAACAAATACAATATTCGAAGTCCTCCCAGATGTTGTCCAAAAGATGACACCCGGGCAGTCTAATAAAGGTGACAAAAGATGCAAGATACGACTAGGAAGATGTAAAAGCTAAAACTAATTTGCATAGCAACTTCGAAGTACTCCTAACAAATAGAACTGCAAGCGTGATTATACTGCCAGAATCCAGAATTCCATTTTTAGCTGCAATCTCAAGAATAAATCTAAACATCGATCAAATTCAGCAAAAAAATGGAATTTCGTATTTACTTTTCCTTATTTTGTTGTAAGCAGATACAAGTGCAGTGCAGTAGAGAATGTATACAGGACTATGATTTTTCCTATGTTACATCAATATCAAGATTGACCCTTTTGCACCACAATGGAGAAGTTGCCAAAGGAACCGAAGAATCACAACAGACTTCCAACCTATCCATAAATCGGGCCTCCGAAGACTTCAACATCACAGGCAATGACAGACACACCCCCCTCTCCATACACATCTTGTGCCTTGGCTTTATCCTATTCTCTAAGCTAAACGAAAAATAGTGTGGGAAATCAACCAACTCCCTCAACTCCCTTCCCATTTCCACCACGAAGTAATTGAATTTGGGCTCTAAATTCTCCTCTATACTGTAACAAAACAGGGACGGAAACCTCCGAAATAGCGAAATGGCCTCCCTTTTGGGTATCCCAAGTTTCAAAAAATAGTCGAGACGAGGGATGAACTTTGATTCGACGCAGCAGGAGAGAAGAGGAGCGCACCTGCTGACATCGTCAATGCCAATGGTACCTCGGAGGAAGTAAAGGGTCGGGCGAAGGCGGCGGTCGACGCTGCAAATGAGGAGGCGGGGGCGGCGGTTGATGACGTGGCGGAGATCCTTGCCGCTGACGTGGGCCTCCCGAAGGAGAAAAGTAACGGCGGGTCTCAAGACGGTTCTGAGAGGGGTGGCCAGAAGGTCGGGGCACATGGAAAAAGCGCGGCGGAGATCAGGGGTGGTGAGGCCGAGGGAGTGGAGGAATTTGACGAGGGACTTGATCTGGGAGAGAGGAGTAAAAAGGATAGGTGAGTGGGCAGCGAGGCAGTAGAGAGAGTCGAGGCCGAGGGAGTCTAAGTACAGGAGTTTCTCCTGGAGGAGCTGGAATTTGAGAGGAGGGGCAATGTTGTTATTTTCCTGGGAACTGGATGATGGGGGGGCGGTGGAAGGGATGGAAATGGAGATGGAATTGGAATCGGGTTGCGGAGGAGGAGGGGCCAAATGGGCGTGCTTGGGGCGGGAAAGCGAAGGAAATTTTGGGGTGATGAAAGGGGGAGTGATGGAGGAGGAGGTGGAAAGGTGGTGGAGGGTATCTGGCATTGTAGCTACTGAACCGCTAGCGACATGGTCCTTTTAGGCAGTGCAATTTGTTCAGGACAATCAAGAAAAAGTAAAAAGTTAAGTACAAAAAGTATCAGTATTTCAAAGGTTAATAACTGAATGCACAGCCCCAACCAACCAAGGCATTTTTCTTTATTTAACGTGGACTTCAGCTACAACGAAAACCCCCCAAAAAGGTTACCTGCAGTGTTCTCAATGATTCGTCAACACTCCTGCCAATTGCAAGGTTGTTAATGGTTGCGTGTTGAATAACTCCTTCCTTGTCGATAATAAAAAGCCCTCTCAATGCAATTCCCTGAAATACCAAGAGCAGAAAAGTGTTGTCATGATGCTGCTCCATAAGAACTCGATCAGTTGCATGCCCTTGTAAATTACTAGTGTAGTTATAGTTGAAAGTCAAAAGGCAAAGTTATTAATCAAAACATTAGTTGAATGGATAAATCTCTTTCTCCTTTTTTTTGCCTGATTCAGTGTAAGGTGTTCATTCCAAAATCTAGAAAACTTTCACATGCAACAAATTAGGATAGCCTAAATTACGAGAGTTTCTTAACTTTATCCGATGCCTCCCCACATCATGCTCAACAGGTGTATCATGGACATCTTATGATGTTATCCACATAATCAAGATAAACAATGAATAAACAAATAACAGCATCTACCACACAACCTGCTCCCAGTATGACTTTTGCTTCAATTATTAGTGTGCTCTTAGAACTCTGAACTGTTGGATATAAGACAGAAATGCAAGGGCAATCCATTTTCATTCACTTATTCCATTTGTAATTTAGTTCAACTTTTTAAAACGAAAACACTAAACGTAAATGTGGTAACTGACAAGCTATTTCCTGTAATACAAGAATGCTCGAAACTAGTTGTTGCAACATCATTATGGGTCCTAATATCAGCTTGGAGTTCAAATTTTGCTCAAGTTGCTGCTGCTTAATACTACAAACTAACACCATAAATAAAAAAAACCACTTTCGTTGGCGCAACAAATTGAAAGCGCGTCTCTAAGTTTCTGGAGAGAGTACAATAACTTCACCATGCAGTGCATCAAGCAACTGAGCTAAAGTAGTTGAGACTAGCAAATCGGTAGATGTATCTGTCTCAAAGACACTCCCTGTTTGAAATCTCTTTTTTTTCTCTCTCCAAATAAAAATTCAGCATTCGCCACAAGAAGTTCCCTTCACGAATTAGAAAATTTTAAAAAGATACTAATAAAGGTCTGGCACAAATTCAAAAAAAAACATTGCGATAATACCTTTAAATCTCTATGCAAACACACAAGTAATATTACTTCGATAGTAGTGAACTTAATCATATACACAGCCCCAAGTAAAAGACTTTCCTACAAAATCAGCTCAATAATACCTAACCCACAAACAAAAAAAAAATTTGCAATTTTTGACGGCCAAAATATCGAAAATAGGAAAAACTGAAGCTGGCATAGAAAAGCATCTAAAACATGGAAAATGCGGGGGTTTAGAACTTACTGCTCGGACAACGAAACTTCGGCGATTGGGGAAGGAAGAGCGGGAAGAGAAGGAACAGGGGACATGGGATAAGGAGGAGAACGAGGGCGAGGACTTACGGAGGGTATTGAAAGAGGAAGGAGTGGATAGGGTTTGAGAGGATAAAAAAGATTTGGGAGAAATGGAAGGCCTCGGGGGGTTTGGGGATGTTGATGATGAAAGCAAGGCTGTTGAAGCCGCTGAGCAGGCCATTGGAGTGGAGGATGGGAACTGAATGGAAAATGGAAGAATCTGGAGTGACGGTTCTTTGAGATGGCCAAAACGGGGGTCCCTCTCAACTCTCAAGTCTCGAGTAGAAAGTCTGTGGACTGAGTGGATTTTGCCGAGTGTGGGAGGCAGCAGAATTGGTTTGGTGGTTGGTACCTGGTCGGTGGCAGTGCCAATGAGCTGTGGATAATTGGAATATGGCCATCTGTCGTTATGCATATTAGGACATATACATACCAGGGATCTCATCTTAGGGCCTTCTCTGTTTTTTTTTTTTTTTCAACTTTTTAACACTTTTTCCCCTAATGGTCGGATTTAAAAAGCACCGAGTAGAAAAGGAGGAATAGAATTAGAAACTAAAATCTCCTGAATCACTAAATTTAAATGATTAATATTTCTTACACTGACAGTGTAGATGAATAATAACTATGTAAATTTTAAATTTAAAATTTAATTTTTGTATATGTGTCATGAATCCAACGGTAATAGTGTATGCACTGTCAGTGTATACTAATTCTCCATCACGCCTTTAGGATTTGGAGTTTTACTTACAGTAAAGGTTGCGAGATTTTATTACGACAGATTAAAGTGTGCTATTTTTCTAAATAGAGAGTATAGTCAAAAAAGTAGAAGGATAGGTTGCAAGATCAAATTTTTGTGTAATTTATGAACACTTTATTGGCGCATGGTCAATGTTGCTTTATTAATTATTTTCTTCTACATTTCCCAAAGATGAAAAAATAGGAAATTAAGACCTCCATCCTTTACTCTTTGTTGTTGTTCCTTTATTTTGTTAAATAGACGAGACTCAGTCCTCTTTTTTTTTTTAAAAAAAAAAAACTAATTACTAGTACATTGTAATATATGGGGTTGAGTGGTTGACTATCCTTACACGCACGGGCCATTCGAACACGATCCAAGTCAGACGATCTTATTATGTTGACCTTAGTTCCAAACGTTTTAGGCCCATAGTTACTGAAGTCTGAAGAAGCCCCGTAATGTAAAATAGAACGGGGTGCACGAGCACTTGTGCTGATGTCGTATGAAATCCCAAATGGCCTCCACTATCAAAATTTTCTGGTTATAAAAAGTTGGGGTTCCAGATTTCATCGGATTGGACATTGATATCCTCCTCTTATCTCCTCTCTCTCAAACAAGAAGCCATATGATATCGATGCCACCACTAGCACTTCTTCCCTCCACAATCTTCCAAAAAAACCTTTGAGAGCTCAGCTCCGTATCCAGAATTCTCCGGCCAATCCTTCAGAGCTCCACTTCACCGCCAAAGTTCAACCATGTCGCTAGCGGTTCAGTAGCTACAATGCCAGATACCCTTCACCACCTTTCCACCTCCTCCTCCACCACTCCCCCTTTCATCACCCCAAAATTTCCTTCGCTTTCCCGCCCCAAGCACGCCCATTTGGCCCCTCCTCCTCCGCAACCCGATTCCAATTCCATCTTCATTTCCATCCCTTCCACCGCCCCCCATCATCCAGTTCCCAGGAAAATAACAACATTGCCCCTCCTCTCAAATTCCAGCTCCTCCAGGAGAAACTCCTCTACTTAGACTCCCTCGGCCTCGATTCTCTCTACTGCCTCGCTGCCCACTCACCTATCCTTTTTACTCCTCTCTCCCAGATCAAGTCCCTCGTCAAATTCCTCCACTCCCTCGGCCTCACCACCCCTGATCTCCGTCGCGCTTTTTCCATGTGCCCCGACCTTCTGGCCACCCCTCTCAGAACCGTCTTGAGACCCGCCGTTACTTTTCTCCTCCGGGAGGCCCACGTCAGCGGCAAGGATCTCCGTCACGTCATCAACCGCCGCCCCCGCCTCCTCACTTGCAGCGTCGACCGCCGCCTTCGCCCGACCCTTTACTTCCTCCGAGGTACCATTGGCATTGACGATGTCAGCAGGTGCGCTCCTCTTCTCTCCTGCTGCGTCGAATCAAAGTTCATCCCTCGTCTCGACTATTTTTTGAAACTTGGGATACCCAAAAGGGAGGCCATTTCGCTATTTCGGAGGTTTCCGTCCCTGTTTTGTTACAGTATAGAGGAGAATTTAGAGCCCAAATTCAATTACTTCGTGGTGGAAATGGGAAGGGAGTTGAGGGAGTTGGTTGATTTCCCACACTATTTTTCGTTTAGCTTAGAGAATAGGATAAAGCCAAGGCACAAGATGTGTGTGGAGAGGGGGGTGTGTCTGTCATTGCCTGTGATGTTGAAGTCTTCGGAGGCCCGATTTATGGATAGGTTGGAAGTCTGTTGTGATTCTTCGTTTCCTTTGGCAACTTCTCCATTGTGGTGCAAAAGGGTCAATCTTGATATTGATGTAACATAGGAAAAATCATAGTCCTGTATACATTCTCTAATGCACTGCACTTGTATCTGCTTACAACAAAATAAGGAAAAGTAAATACGAAATTCCATTTTTTTGCTGAATTTGATCGATGTTTAGATTTATTCTTGAGATTGCAGCTAAAAATGGAATTCTGGCAGTATAATCACGCTTGCAGTTCTATTTGTTAGGAGTACTTCGAAGTTGCTATGCAAATTAGTTTTAGCTTTTACATCTTCCTAGTCGTATCTTGCATCTTTTGCCACCTTTATTAGACTGCCCGGGTGTCATCTTTTGGACAACATTTGGGAGAAATTCGAATATTGTATTTGTTGGGAAGGTAAATATGATTGGGGATGTTGGCAGAGTGAAGCAGTTGATTGTGCTTCCTTCAGATTCTGCTGCTTAATCAGTTATTCTTGCAAAGCACATAAAAGAGTCTTGGAGGATTTTTGTGTTTTGGGTGCTTGTTTGCTGCGATTATGTCATGCTTGTATCGCTTTTGAATGCTTGAAGTTTCAATTTTGTTCCACCCTTGTATTCCTAGAAGGGGACGCTTCGCGCTTAATATGACGTTTAGTTTAGATTTGTAGGTCGTGGAGACAGATAATTTAGGGTAGTACCTTATGGTCAGAGGGACTACCAATCGGGTACTTAAGGAGTGATTAGAGGGGAGCTCTTAGGATGATTATGATTGGAGGGAATACCAATTGGAACTTAAGAGAGAGGAGCTCCAATCGGGTACGTAAGACTGGTTAGAGAAGAGTTATTTATAGAGTTAGATCCCTCTGTGGATCAAAGACGATGAATTAAAAGTTGTGCATTTATAGAGTTTAGATTCCTTTTCATCATCATGTAGACTCAATCTGTCATCGACTGCCTGCTCTCAAACAAACTAGACTTAAAATTATTGTTGTCAACATGATGATGCAGACGCTTAAACCCTAAATTATCTGTCTCCACGACCTACAAATCTAGACTAAACGTCATATTAAGCGCGAAGCGTCCCCTTCTAGGAATACAAGGGTGGAACAAAATTGAAACTTCAAGCATTCAAAAGCGATACAAGCATGACATAATCGCAGCAAACAAGCACCCAAAACACAAAAATCCTCCAAGACTCTTTTTTGTGCTTTGCAAGAATAACTGATTAAGCAGCAGAATTTGAAGGAAGCACAATCAACTGCTTCACTCTGCCAACATCCCCAATCATATTTACCTTCCCAACAAATACAATATTCGAATTTCTCCCAGATGTTGTCCAAAAGATGACACCCGGGCAGTCTAATAAAGGTGGCAAAAGATGCAAGATACGACTAGGAAGATGTAAAAGCTAAAACTAATTTGCATAGCAACTTCGAAGTACTCCTAACAAATAGAACTGCAAGCGTGATTATACTGCCAGAATTCCATTTTTAGCTGCAATCTCAAGAATAAATCTAAACATCGATCAAATTCAGCAAAAAAATGGAATTTCGTATTTACTTTTCCTTATTTTGTTGTAAGCAGATACAAGTGCAGTGCATTAGAGAATGTATACAGGACTATGATTTTTCCTATGTTAAATCAATATCAAGATTGACCCTTTTGCACCACAATGGAGAAGTTGCCAAAGGAACCGAAGAATCACAACAGACTTCCAACCTATCCATAAATCGGGCCTCCGAAGACTTCAACATCACAGGCAATGACAGACACACCCCCCTCTCCACACACATCTTGTGCCTTGGCTTTATCCTATTCTCTAAGCTAAACGAAAAATAGTGTGGGAAATCAACCAACTCCCTCAACTCCCTTCCCATTTCCACCACGAAGTAATTGAATTTGGGCTCTAAATTCTCTTCTATACTGTAACAAAACAGGGACGGAAACCTCCGAAATAGCGAAATGGCCTCCCTTTTGGGTATCCCAAGTTTCAAAAAATAGTCGAGACGAGGGATGAACTTTGATTCGACGCAGCAGGAGAGAAGAGGAGCGCACCTGCTGACAACGTCAATGCCAATGGTACCTCGGAGGAAGTAAAGGGTCGGGCGAAGGCGGCGGTCGACGCTGCAAGTGAGGAGGCGGGGGCGGCGGTTGATGACGTGGCGGAGATCCTTGCCGCTGACGTGGGCCTCCCGGAGGAGAAAAGTAACGGCGGGTCTCAAAACGGTTCTGAGAGGGGTGGCCAGAAGGTCGGGGCACATGGAAAAAGCGCGACGGAGATCAGGGGTGGTGAAGCCGAGGGAGTGGAGGAATTTGACGAGGAACTTGATCTGGGAGAGAGGAGTAAAAGGATAGGTGAGTGGGCAGCGAGACAGTAGAGAGAGTCGAGGCCGAGGGAGTCTAAGTAGAGGAGTTTCTCCTGGAGGAGCTGGAATTTGAGAGGAGGGGCAATGTTGTTATTTTCCTGGGAACTGGATGATGGGGGGCGGTGGAAGGGATGGAAATGAAGATGGAATTGGAATCGGGTTGCGGAGGAGGAGGGGCCAAATGGGCGTGCTTGGGGCGGGAAAGCGAAGGAAATTTTGGGGTGATGAAAGGGGGAGTGGTGGAGGAGGAGGTGGAAAGGTGGTGAAGGGTATCTGGCATTGTAGCTACTGAACCGCTAGCGACATGGTTGAACTTTGGCGGTGAAGTGGAGCTCTGAAGGATTGGCCGGAGAATTCTGGATACGGAGCTGAGCTCTCAAAGGTTTTTTTGGAAGATTGTGGAGGGAAGAAGTGCTAGTGGTGGCATCGATATCATATGGCTTCTTGTTTGAGAGAGAGGAGAGAAGAGGAGGATATCAATGTCCAATCCGATGAAATCTGGAACCCCAACTTTTTATAACCAGAAAATTTTGATAGTGGAGGCCATTTGGGATTTCATACGACATCAGCACAAGTGCTCGTGCACCCCGTTCTATTTTACAATACGGGGCTTCTTCAGGCTTCAGTAACTATGGGCCTAAAACGTTTGGAACTAAGGTCAACATAATAAGATCGTCTGACTTGGATCGTGTTCGAATGGCCCGTGCGTGTAAGGATAGTCAACCACTCAACCCCATATATTACAATGTACTAGTAATTAGTTTTTTTTTTTTTTTAAAAAAAAGAGGACTAAGTCTCGTCTATTTAACAAAATAAAGGAACAACAACAAAGAGTAAAGGATGGAGGTCTTAATTTCCTATTTTTTCATCTTTGGGAAATGTAGAAGAAAATAATTAATAAAGCAACATTGACCATGCGCCAATAAAGTGTTCATAAATTACACAAAAATTTGATCTTGCAACCTATCCTTCTACTTTTTTGACTATACTCTCTATTTAGAAAAATAGAACACTTTAATCTGTCGTAATAAAATCTCGTAACCTTTACTGTAAGTAAAACTCCAAATCCTAAAGGCGTAATGGAGAATTAGTATACACTGACAGTGCATACACTATTACCGTTGGATTCATGACACATATACAAAAATTAAATTTTAAATTCAAAATTTACATAGTTATTATTCATCTACACTGTCAGTGTAAGAAATATTAATCATTTAAATTTAGTGATTCAGGAGATTTTAGTTTCTAATTCTATTCCTCCTTTTCTACTCGGTGCTTTTTAAATCCGACCATTAGGGGAAAAAGTGTTAAAAAGTTGAAAAAAAAAAAAAAACAGAGAAGGCCCTAAGATGAGATCCCTGGTATGTATATGTCCTAATATGCATAACGACAGATGGCCATATTCCAATTATCCACAGCTCATTGGCACTGCCACCGACCAGGTACCAACCACCAAACCAATTCTGCTGCCTCCCACACTCGGCAAAATCCACTCAGTCCACAGACTTTCTACTCGAGACTTGAGAGTTGAGAGGGAGCCCCCGTTTTGGCCATCTCAAAGAACCGTCACTCCAGATTCTTCCATTTTCCATTCAGTTCCCATCCTCCACTCCAATGGCCTGCTCAGCGGCTTCAACAGCCTTGCTTTCATCATCAACATCCCCAAACCCCCCGAGGCCTTCCATTTCTCCCAAATCTTTTTTATCCTCTCAAACCCTATCCACTCCTTCCTCTTTCAATACCCTCCGTAAGTCCTCGCCCTCGTTCTCCTCCTTATCCCATGTCCCCTGTTCCTTCTCTTCCCGCTCTTCCTTCCCCAATCGCCGAAGTTTCGTTGTCCGAGCAGTAAGTTCTAAACCCCCGCATTTTCCATGTTTTAGATGCTTTTCTATGCCAGCTTCAGTTTTTCCTATTTTCGATATTTTGGCCGTCAAAAATTGCAAATTTTTTTTTTGTTTGTGGGTTAGGTATTATTGAGCTGATTTTGTAGGAAAGTCTTTTACTTGGGGCTGTGTATATGATTAAGTTCACTACTATCGAAGTAATATTACTTGTGTGTTTGCATAGAGATTTAAAGGTATTATCGCAATGTTTTTTTTTGAATTTGTGCCAGACCTTTATTAGTATCTTTTTAAAATTTTCTAATTCGTGAAGGGAACTTCTTGTGGCGAATGCTGAATTTTTATTTGGAGAGAGAAAAAAAAGAGATTTCAAACAGGGAGTGTCTTTGAGACAGATACATCTACCGATTTGCTAGTCTCAACTACTTTAGCTCAGTTGCTTGATGCACTGCATGGTGAAGTTATTGTACTCTCTCCAGAAACTTAGAGACGCGCTTTCAATTTGTTGCGCCAACGAAAGTGGTTTTTTTTATTTATGGTGTTAGTTTGTAGTATTAAGCAGCAGCAACTTGAGCAAAATTTGAACTCCAAGCTGATATTAGGACCCATAATGATGTTGCAACAACTAGTTTCGAGCATTCTTGTATTACAGGAAATAGCTTGTCAGTTACCACATTTACGTTTAGTGTTTTCGTTTTAAAAAGTTGAACTAAATTACAAATGGAATAAGTGAATGAAAATGGATTGCCCTTGCATTTCTGTCTTATATCCAACAGTTCAGAGTTCTAAGAGCACACTAATAATTGAAGCAAAAGTCATACTGGGAGCAGGTTGTGTGGTTCTTAATGCCCACATTTGACACATTTAGCACCCGGAATTGACCTCAGATGCATGAGCTAGAGGTGTGACTTCATGGTTAAAATTTTAGGACGAGTGGCGGTAGTTTTCGCTGACCTCTAATCAAATCAAATTGCCTGCAGGTAAACATTTTGATGTCCAATTGTTTTACATTTTGAA